GAGGACACACTTGCAGGGTGAGCAGCACTGATGAGTTACAGGATGCACGCTGTCCACATCCACGAAAAACTACAAATAAGACATATTTAACTAAAACGAAAGAGTGCTGCCGTCTCAGACCACCTAAAGAAATGTGTCATCACGTCACAAGACCCTAACAGTTCCAACAAGACCCCAAAGCTAAGCTTAGCCGGTAAGTCCACAAGGAGACCTGAGGCAGTCATGCCTTACACAGCTGATGGATAAAAGACCAGGACTCCCTGTAGGACGCTGGCCTCGATCATGAGGGGGCAAAAAGTCCCAGAACCAAAATCAGAACCTGAATGATAATGTCATACCCCACCAGCTGTAAGATGAGCTACAGAACCTCATCCAGGACTCCCCACCTCCACCCTCGGGCTGAGGAGAAACCTGCTGTTGGTACTTGCCTGGTTTCAACAGCATCACGGTTGCTAACAGGCTCAGGTGTATTACGGTGCTACTCACCTGGTTTGAAGTTCTGAAGACATTTTGGCTATGAGCTAATGTTTTAGAGTGGATGGGGCAACAGGTTGTTTTCAGTCTGTTATGAAAGCCTGTGTGAAAGCTACACTGTGGTTATGTCACACCGTGATGGTGACGTGCGGCAGAGATTAACCTGCACAGCGCTTTCAGGTGCATCTGCTCGTCATTGCCATTAAACGAGTGACGTTTTCATCAAACGCTGTTATATTTCATCCTGCGGGGTTTTATAGCCAGCACTCAACTTTAACTTGACAGCTTTGCTGGGAGGAATGTGGCGCGCTGCAGGGTGTTTTCCCAGCGCTGTGCTTGTGTATAAGTGTTTGATTCACCTGCCAGTAGGGGGCAGAATGAGCAGTCTGTGCTACATTAGCACCAGTTTTGCAGAAGCAGTGTGGGGCAGTGGGGAAATCACTGCACCTGCAGCGTGCTCGGTTCGTCTGTTTCATCTGAAGTGTTTCTGCGACACTGCTGAGGTCTGAGGGGTGGAGCGCACTCAGCTGGAAGCTTTCTTCCTGCTGCTCACCTAAAAACAAAGGAAACGGAGGCTTTGGGCCGACTTTCTGATTCCAGTTCTCAGTGGACCTTTTTCCTTCTGACCCGGAGGTGTGTGTGGCGGCCATGATAGGAGTCGGCGGATCCTCCAAATAACAAAACGTTGGTGAGATGATAACACTGCTGTCGATGCTACGAGGGTCGCCACAGCTTTAACCTCAGACTCTGAGCAGTTTGGAAGCAGCTGAAGCTTCCTTTATTACCTCCTTTAGTAAAGGATGCATCAGAGCTTCCTTTATGAAACTAAAGGAGATGATGCCGTCCCACAATTCACAGCAACGACCCATCAGACCTTACAGTAAACAAACAGGTCATCATGTGACTTACTGCTGAGTTACCCACCAAATGACGGCCATCTTTGATCGACCACAGGTGAGCTCTCACCGTGTTACTGTGTGCATGTGCGCACCGTCTGCACACAGCAACCAATGAGAGCACAGCAGGTATCTGAGAGGAGCTTTTTGTAGTCCACCCGCAGGACTTTGTAGTTTCACCGCAGCAGAGCCTCATTATTATTATTAACAGTCTGTTTAAGGACAGCTGATTCTCCGAGTGCCGCAGTCCTGCTCTTCAAGTCCTTGTAAACAATCCTTTACATCTTTACTTCCCTTCCACTGAGGTCAAGGAAATGTATTTTGAGAAGACGCATGAGGTCCTTTTTTCACTATTTAACCACAAAGACTCATCTGCTTTCTGCAACAAGAACTAAAGCCGCTGAATGTTTGCACCGGTCCGTGGAAACTCAGGGAGGTTCTGTTGGTTCCTGCAAGCGTGAAGTTCTTCACATTTACATTCAGTCCAAACGGGTACAGGAGCCAGTCTGTGCACCACAGTGGATTTTAAACACAGCCCCATTTCAGGCGCACAGACTAACAACATTTCTAACTTTTATGATACTTTTATTGGGTGAAAGTGTTTAGCAGTCAACAGCAGGACGCCGCCACATGCCGCACTCGTTCAGCTGCTTCCTGTTTGTGGGTCTCTGCCTTCAGCTTTAGTATTTAAACGCAAACAAGTTCAACACTTAACCTGCTTAAATTCTCGTGGAATAACGAGGGAACAGGCCTCGCTCGCTGATCAAAGTGCTCCTTCATCAGCTATGTTTGGAGAAGCTAGACTGTATAAAACCTACACGGAACAAAATAACAAACACGTGTCCTGAGTGCAACACTAAAGCTCCTGACCTCACCGCCACCAGGAGCCTTCACACACGTCACCGCCTGCATTGGTGCTCGTACTCATGAAACAGCCTCAGTGCATCAAGGGTGTTGATCTGGGACAGCCAAGTATCCCAGAATGCATTGCACACAAAACAGCAAGCAGCAGTGGCAACAGCAGCAAAGCTGGAAGCTGGAGTAAACTTTCTGTTGTTGTGCCACAAAAGTCAGTTTTAATTTAGTTGTTTGGGCTTCATATCTGTGGGACTCATCACAGGTTTGAGTCGACTGATCAAAATATTGCCAAACTGAAAACTCCAGGGACGTTTTTTCCGCCCTTTTCTTGGATGTCTCTGGGTCTGACACAAATATTGCTGCATCTCGACCTGATCACACACCTGAAGGATGTCCTAAAATACTTTAAGCTGCACACTTTGTCATTGTTTGTCTCTTGTAAGCATTGGAGAGACGATGACTCAGTAGTCCTGTTGTAGTTCTCTGAAGTGCATCGCCGGGGGCGTACGCATAGTTGGTCTCTGCAGATTGGTCAGGCAGGCGTGAAGACGTCCACACCAATCATCAGCTCACCATCTCATGAAGAAATTTACATCACTAGCAGATTCGCAGACACGGAAAAGGTCTTGACAAGCACACGCCCAAATGGTGGTCCTTCCATGAAGCTACACCATTAGTGTGCATAAGCTGCCTTGTTGGGGACGCCTTCCCCGTGTTACGGCCTCATTGGTGGGACCCAGTCTCATTGCCCCATCTAGGAAAGGGGCTCATCAGTGAGAGCCTAGTTGTTGAGCCTTTGCCCTCGTGTGATTCCTCCATCACCACAGGCTTTCAGCACACTGTTGAAGGTGGAGGATTATGGATCGGACCAACAGCTGGTCAAATTGCCTCTAGGCCAGCGGTCCCCAACCCCCAGGCCTCGGACCGGTACCGGTCCGTGAGTCGTTTGGTACCGGGCCGTGAGAGTTGAGACTCGGGTGTGAAATGTATGGTTTTCAGGGGTTTTAGCGGTTTTTAGTGTTATTTTGTTATCGTTTTTATCGTTAACTCTGTTTTCCTGGGTCTTTTCATGTGTGTTATGAATAAATCTTCTTTTTTTCGGTACCAGTACTAGTTTTATTTTGTTGTATTTATCCGCGGCACCTTAAAGGCCGGTCCGTGAAAGTATTGTCGGGCACAAACCAGTCCGTGGCGCAAAAAAGGTTGGGGACCGCTGCACTAGGCTCCAAAATATTTAATTTGGTCAAAGTGCCAGCGAAGTCCTGACACTGAGGATCCCTGAGTTCTCAGTCTGATACTGGGAATGCAAATGTGTGATTCTTCCTTGAAAAATATCAGCTGTGGAACAAATAAGCTGATGTTTTGATCCAGCTTCCTGTTAGGAGGCTCTTTCAAAGCTTCGCCTAACCTGAGATTGTGAAGTTCCTCTGGTGGGTGTACAAGGAGTCAAAGAGCGAGTCAGCTGACCCTGACTGTAATGGACTAAGAAAGCCCTGGATTTTGAACCCAAAGCTGTAGTTCCTCTGACGTCCAGCAGAGACAGCAGTGAGTCCACCTCACAGACTATCCAGCAAAGAAAACGTGTTTCCAGCCTGATACACAAGCTGTTCTGCTTCATAACACTTTTAATAACGCACCTAGATTAAAGTTTGCATTATTAGGGGCGTGGCCTCTCTGACCAACAGGTGGATGGGGACACAGGCGGCTGCAACTGCTAGCTGGCTGCTAGAGTTCACCTAAGCTAACTCGAGTCCCTGCACTGGACCTCTGGACTGTTGCTGTCGGAGCCTTTTGGAGCATTTTCAATGGCATTATCTGACCAATAACGTGGCTGCGGATGTTGATTGGATGTTACTGATCAGCAGGTGAAGAGTTTCATTAAAGCTGGTGGAGAGGTGAGACATGGGCTCAGAACCCCTGTAACCTCCTAGCACAGATCCAGAACTTGTCCCAGTAAATCAGTCACGCTCTCCTGTCAGAAACATGACGTCTGCTTTCTGTGGTGATACTGGAGTGATAACAGGTGTGTTAGGAGGCTGTGGGTGTGCTGGTTTAGGCGAGAGCTGTTCAAGTCCTGTTTGGACTTTTGTATTTCAGTCTTTGGGTTTGGGCCGTTTCTTCCAGTTCAGGAGCAGTTTGTCATTTTCATTGTGACTGTCACAAAGATGCACAGAGAGCGCCAGCCTGTCTGAACATGGTCACACCCTGATGCGTACCTGTTATCGCCACAGTCTGGGATCAAATATTTTAACTAATAAAAACTAAAAACAGCCTCTTCTGATTTGGCCTCCTGACACATAGTTAAATGTTTTCCTGGCTTTTCTTTGTTTTAGTTTTGCAGCTCTGTGACTGCATTTCTCTGTCGTGCACTCGGAGTAACAGCGGCTGTAAAACATGAGCTCGCCTTTAAACCCTCCAGATGACGCGTGAATGAATCAGAGTGACACACGCTTACATACTTTTACTACAGTATCACTACAAGTACTGGCAGTGATATATTTCTCTGGTAATCTTGTTTCTTTCACAAAGATGGGTTTCCCCCCATGTTTCCTGTGTGTCTGACTGTCAAAATAAAAGACAGAAAAGCCCCAGGCAAACACAGCAAACCTGTCAGTGCCATCGAGACGTCACAGTCCTCGAGGTTCGGACACAACGTTATGTAACGTTACAGCAACACACACACACACACACACACCTCCTAACGGATCGATCTGTGTGACACACACACACATTTATCAGGGTGCATTACTGCACACACCCATTAAATCTTACCTTGTTCCTTTATCTCCCATCCCGACGATGTCGACAGCAGCCGGGCGGAGAGATGATGGAGGAGGATGGAGGGATGCCGTCACCGTGGAAACTGAGGGCAGGATATCTCTCTCTCTCTCTTTCTCACTCAGGAAGCCGTTGTCATGCCATCAGAGTGTCCTCAGCAGGAGGAAAAACCTCCATCTGAGCTGCGACTGAACGAAGGACTGACTGAATCCACCACTCTGCCCCTCCTCCTCTTTAACTCGCCTGCTTCCTTCCTCTCAGCGCCTGGCATGCTCTCCCCCTCTCTCTTCTGTCAGACTCATTAGCAGTAAAACATGTTAAAACAGGAGACACCCAGAGGACAGATTATATTTCTGTCTGACACTGACAGCTGGACTCTGACCTCCACCCTCCTTACATCTGTCCTTCATTAAATAAATATTTATTTCCTCTAAATTTGGACACTTTCCAGGCTTGAATGTTTACAGCCCGAGGAAGGAAACGAAGAAAGTCGCTGTCGTTCTTTCTATGAACATTCACTGCCAGCTGCGCATCTCTGCGTTTAATCCAACCCTCAGTACTGACTTTTAAGCATGTTTACATCTCGTCATTAGTGACTTCTTACAACCAGTCGCCCCCTGCTGGACATTTAGTGCAGGAGTTTAGGCAGTGTCGTACTCGGGTTCAGTCACATCAGTGTGAAGCAGTTCAGGTTTCTCTCATATCATGCTTTATAAATGTATGGGCTCGCACCACACGCCCCTGCCTGAGGCCCACTGTTTTTATTTATTCACATTAATGTGGCCATTAATCTTTACGTACAGCACTGACACTTTATATTTGCGTCCTGCAGTTCCCCATCTCATCCTGCTGCTCTTAAATCGCGAGTGATGGAAGTTTTTAGTTTGTCCAGAAGGGGAAGGGCGTCTGTTTCAGGGGCCTCGGGATCTGGTCTGAGGATTTCATGGGTCCAGCTTTCCTTGGAGTGGTTCACAACTGAGCACATAAGAAAAGCTGTTGAATTAGCCATCGATTGACATCCTTAGCCTCACCTGTGACTGAAGCTATGGGTACTCAGACCTAGTTTCAGAGAGCAGAGGTAACCCCAAGGTAGTATTAGACACCGTTAGTGATATAGTTGCTCCTGCTCCACCTGCTGTCCCAATTTCATTGAATGAAGATTGTGAAAACTTTCTTTGTTGAAAAAGTCAGCATTGTTAGGAACAATATATCTCCTTCTGTGTCTCTTGTCTGCTCCAACCCCACCTAGTCCTGTTATAAGGTTTTTAACCTGTGTCCTTACCTAAACTGGTCAAATTAGTTAATTTGATTAAAAAGCGTCCTCCTGCTCTCCTGATATTTTACCTGGATCTTTGTTTACAAATGTCTTTCAGTCTATCGGTCCCTGTGTGCTGATAATTATCAATACTTCATTGGTTTCTGGTCAGGTCCCTGTTTATTGTAAGAATGCTGTCATTCACTCACTGGTTTTATTTTATTTGTTTATCAAGAGATCATACAGTGGGGCAAAGAAGTATTTAGTCAGCCACCGATTGTGCAAGTTCCCCCACCTAAAATGATGACAGAGGTCAGTAATTTGCACCAGAGGTACACTTCAACTGTGAGAGACAGAATGTGAAAAAAAAATCCATGAATCCACATGGTAGGATTTGTAAAGAATTTATTGGTAAATCAGGGTGGAAAATAAGTATTTGGTCAATAACAAAAATACAACTCAATACTTTGTAACATAACCTTTGTTGGCAATAACAGAGGTCAAACGTTTACTATAGGTCTTTACCAGGTTTGCACACACAGTAGCTGGTATTTTGGCCCATTCCTCCATGCAGATCTTCTCGAGAGCAGTGATGTTTTGGGGCTGTCGCCGAGCAACACGGACTTTCAACTCCCGCCACAGATTTTCTATGGGGTTGAGGTCTGGAGACTGGCTAGGCCACTCCAGGACTTTCAAATGCTTCTTACGGAGCCACTCCTTTGTTGCCCGGGCGGTGTGTTTTGGATCATTGTCATGTTGGAAGACCCAGCCTCGTTTCATCTTCAAAGTTCTCACAGATGGAAGGAGGTTTTGGCTCAAAATCTCACGATACATGGCCCCATTCATTCTGTCCTTAACACGGATCAGTCGTCCTGTCCCCTTGGCAGAAAAACAGCCCCATAGCATGATGTTTCCACCCCCATGCTTCACAGTAGGTATGGTGTTCTTGGGATGCAACTCAGTATTCTTCTTCCTCCAAACAAGACGAGTTGAGTTTATACCAAAAAGTTCTACTTTGGTTTCATCTGACCACATGACATTCTCCCAATCCTCTGCTGTATCATCCATGTGCTCTCTGGCAAACTTCAGACGGGCCTGGACATGCACTGGCTTCAGCAGCGGAACACGTCTGGCACTGCGGGATTTGATTCCCTGCCGTTGTAGTGTGTTACTGATGGTGACCTTTGTTACTTTGGTCCCAGCTCTCTGCAGGTCATTCACCAGGTCCCCCCGTGTGGTTCTGGGATCTTTGCTCACCGTTCTCATGATCATTTTGACCCCACGGGATGAGATCTTGCGTGGAGCCCCAGACCGAGGGAGATTATCAGTGGTCTTGTATGTCTTCCATTTTCTGATGATCGCTCCCACAGTTGATTTTTTCACACCAAGCTGCTTGCCTATTGTAGATTCACTCTTCCCAGTCTGGTGCAGGTCTACAATCCTGTTCCTGGTGTCCTTCGAAAGCTCTTTGGTCTTGGCCATGGCATATTAGAAATAAGTTTGTATGATCTAAATTAGAAAAAATCTTAAATAAAATAAAGTAAAATAATAAAATATAAATACAAATAAAAGAATAGAGGGGGCGGGGCTTAAATCCTGTGCCTACCTTAAAAAAAGAGTAAATTTCAAATTCTTTTCAATCTAGTTGCAGGTGGGTAAATCACATTGTTCTAAGGAAAAGATCTGAGATATTCCACAAAGTGTCCACTTGTGGATAAATTTAGCAGGACTACCTTTCACTGTGAGTGAGATCGTCTCCACCCTCAAGAATGTCCGGACAGTATTAAGCCATTGCAATGCAGATGGAGGCGTAAAATACAGCGTCTAGCAAGAAGGGAACAAAAAGCCACGATCTCAGTTTGCTGGGGAGTTATATTAAGAGGGTCTTTGGAACTCCAAATATGGCAGTCAGAGGGTCTTCTCGGATCGGATCCAAAAACCTCTGAAAACCCAAAATGTGTTCAAACTTGGACAGAAGAAAACATATGGATTGCAGGGGGAGGTCACATTGATCTATAATTGAAGGAAAATTTTAGATAAACGGGATTTTGAGAAATGGACTAAACTGTACAAGCTGTAGCACATGGTGTACTTGAACGCATGAGAGTCACCTTGTCCCACCATGATTCAAACAGTTCAACACCTAATTCATGCTGGGTCGCCATAAGCATACAATATATATTTGATAGAAGTGATTTTTGATTAGGCCTCACAAGCAGAAGGTCAACCCATGGAGCATCAGCAGGGAGAAGTTTGGAAACAGTGATGAGACACAGTGTCTAATTTGCAAATAGAGAAATTTTATGTCTCTTTCATGCCACGTCAGACAGGCGGCAGTGGCAGGAAAATGGATGATTCCTTAACAATGGTAATCTGGTAGAGGGGGCAATGAATTTAAAATGCGACCTGAACTGAAACCACATCTTACGTGTAGAGAGCACTACGGGATTTGAAGCAACAGACGATGTTTAACAGGCAGTGATGAGTAGATAAGAGAGGCGACTGGAAAATATGGAGAAACTGATTGAATTTCAAGTTTACACCAAATCAGGTTCGGTGAATTTAGCCAGTAGGTCAGCTTATGAATATGTGAAGACCAGTAGTACATTAAAAAATTTGGTAGGGAAAGACCCCCATTAGAGGTAAACTGTTGTAATAAAGAGAGCCTCAGTCTAGGCCAGGGGTCACAACCTTTAAGACCCAAAGAGCCACTTGGAGCCGGTTTCCACGCAAAAAAAACCCACTGGGAGCCGCAAATACTTTGTGACGTCTAAAATGAAGATAACACTGTACATATTGTTTTTTTACCTTTATGCTTTGTGTGAACAGCTAAAGTGTGTTGCTTATGAAATCCATGAAGTGCTACAGAGAAAACTACATTTTATTTATGTAATGAACACATTTCGATCTCTTAAAGAAATATAACAAAAGGAAAGCTGAACTACAATGATCCAGCAAACAAAAACTGCTGTGAGCCGCCAGCCTTATATCTCCTTTGGGCTTTTGGAGCCTTGACCTGACTTTTAAAAATAACTGGAAAAAAAGCTCTATGCTGCTGAAAAATGAAAAATAGATATTTACAAAATTCTGCCTAAATATGTATTTTACCTGGTTAATGTGTGCGGTGGGGCGTGGTCTGCAGCGCCGCTGCAGGGGAGGCGGACGCACCTGAGCGGCACCAGCAATCACGCCTCGCCACCTTAAAGTCTGTGCTCTCTCTGCGGTTGTGTGTCGGGCTGTGAGCTGCAAAGCTACAGCCGGCTGTGTGCGTACAGCAGCCGTGTGTGAAAGTGGTCAATAAAGAGAAGCTGTAAAGCCTGTTCATGCAAACATCGTCAGGTCTGCCGTGATATGTTTACAACGGGACTTCTGCTCCTGAACCTCTGCGCACAGTGAAGTCACTTCATCTTTACAGGACTGTAAGCTGTCGTCTGTGAGGCGTGAGCGTGTTTGTTTTTAACATAGTTCGCGGTGGAGCTGCTGACATAATGTGGATCCCAAGATCCATAATTGGCCTACCTGGGGTTGAAAGTCTCGGTAAATGCAGGCATTTCAGCGGGCACACCGGCTTCCACGAGTGTGACGCTTATTTTGAGCGATGAAGAAATAATAGAAAATAAAAGTGTATTTTTATATTTCAATATCACAATAATCTAACAATTTATAACTACACGTTAAAAGTCTCTTAAAAATCCCACTGACAGAGACAGGGTCAGAAATCAGATTGCCAGATAGGGCTGCCACAAACGATTATTTTGATAGTCGACTAGTCACCGATTAATTTTGCTAGCTATCGAGCTAGTGGGTAACAGACGTCTCCGAAAACGTCGGAGCGCTTTTGAAAATATGTGGTGTCCTGATAAACTGAGCAGATATTTGAGGTTTGCACAGCTACATTCTCGCCTGAAAATATGTTAAACGTTTATTTTGTGACCCAGAAAGAATAATAAGAGTAACATTAAAACTAACTAGCTGCCGCCATTGTTGGAAACTGCGCTGGGCTGCGCTATGAATTCTGGGACACAGCTTCTTCTTCTTCGGGGTTTAACGGCAGCTGACATCCTTG